TGGATGTGGGCTTCTCAGAAATAGAGTCCTGGGGTATTTCTTTTTAACAATAGTTATCCAAGCATTAAAGCAAAATTGAGAACTCCTTAAGAGCAAAGGTAAGAGGACATCCCCTTCCTGTGAACAAGAGTGGAAGCTGTACCTTAGAGGATTCTTTGTTCTAAGGAGGACAGCCGTATAGCTGGCCCACATGAGCAGAATGAGGGCCTACAGTAGACTGCTCGCCTAGGCTAGATCTGGGGTAGTGCTAATCCATCTCTTCCTGTCGGCCACAGCTTTAGGTAGAAAGAGTCCCATGTGAATGGGACACCTCAGCTGGTCCATATGCATTGGAGACTCAGATCCATGGTATGCAAATACTCTAAGCCAAGACACTTGAGGTAGGTGCTACTCCCACATGGCTTGGGCACATCAATTCAAGAAATCACTTCTCAGGATGATGGCTACACTCTGGCACAGTCAGGAAAATGTGCTGAAAGTAACCCAGAGAACAAACTTCATAACAAACGAGTAGTACAATAACTTGAGGAACATTTCCTGCCATGGGAGAATTCATACCTAAAGACCTAGAAAAAATGAAAGTCTAAAAATCTTGATACAGTTAAAATCTTCAAAAATATAAAGGAAGAATCAGCATCTATGAATAAAACCTGAAGGATACCAAGCAGACATATATAGCAGAAATGAACCCAACTATCTAGAATTTTTAAGAAACAGAAGTTACTGACAATGAAAAATAACAAACTCAATAGGCAAATTAGTAAATAGAGCTGAAGAGAGAATCACTGGCTTAGAAGCTAGAATTGGGGAAATCCTTCAGAATGAAGTGCAGAATAAGGGAAATAAACATGTGAAAGGAGAAGTATCACAGAATGAATGGGAATCTCGAGTGTATGTATCATTACTCAGCAGATATTGATGAGTAACCAAGCTCTTTCCAGAACGGAAAACATGAATTTCTAGTTAGGAAGTCTACAGACTGCCTAGTAAGACATTACAAAAAAACTACATCTAGACACCTTTTAGTCAAAAGTGTGGAATATCAAGAATAAAGAGGAAATTCTAAAAGCCACCAGAGAGAAAAGATGGCTTATCTACAAAGGTCCAATAATTGAATTGACAGTAAACTTCTCATCAGCAACAACAGATGCCAAAAGACAAAAGAGCATCTTTCAGAGTGCTGAGGGCAAAGAACTGGGAACCTTCATTTCCATCTATTGCCAAACTGTCTTTGAAATCAAAGGGCAAAATGAAGACATTTGGACATGTACATTGTCTTAGAAAGCTTCTGTCCCACAAACTTCCTGGGGGGGGGCGGGGTGAAGGGCCCAGGGGGAGGGGCTAGGAGCTCACAGGTGCCAAGAGGCTTGGTGGAGGCCAGGTCTCCAAGAAGGGGCAGGAGGCTTTGACATGCAGGGCAGCAAGAGCTGTTTTGGATCTTGCCTCAGCACCAGCCAGACAGAGGAACCCAGGCCAGCCTGCCCAGCTCAGATTTTCCCCTCTTGAATGCCAGTCCTGCTCTCTTCTCGTCCCCTCTTTCTGGGCTGTGGTAATGGCATGATACCCAAGCTAGGGGTGATATCACTGGCCTGGCTCTGGGGCCTTGAAGAGGCCATGCCCAAGCTACTCATATGACTGGGTACTTGACCACTGAAGGGTCTTCTCTAGACAGCTTAGATGTCACCTCAGAAAGCCCTACAGGCAGCTAGTGCTGTGGAAAGGGACAAGACCAGTGGAGGACAGGTCACAAGACTGACAGCCAGCTGATGCCCTTGAGCAATTTCTTAACTTCTTTGTGCCTCAGTTTCTTCCTTATAAAATGGGGGAGATTGCTCACCCCCATGATGATGATGATGAAATGTGAATCAATGTAATACCAAGCTTTCCTTCCTTCCTTCCTTCCTTCCTTCCTTCCTTCCTTCCTTCCTTCCTTCCTTCCTTCCTTCCTTCCTTCCTTCCTTCCTTCCTTCATTTGTTTTGGACTCAGGGTCTCATATAGCCCAGACTGACTTCAAACTTGCTATGTGGCCAAGAATAACCTTGAACTTTTTTTTTTTTTGTTTGTTGTTTTTTTTCGAGGTAGGGTTTCTCTGCATACAGTCCTGTATGCTTTGTAGACCAGGATGGCCTAGAACTCAGAGATCTTCCTGCCTCTGACTCCCAAGTAATGGGATCAAAGACATGCCACCACCGCCTGGCAACCTTGAACTTCTGATACCCATCTTCACCTTCCAGCTGCTGAAATTACAGGTGTGTACTATTTATAGCCAGTTTATGCTGAGCTGGGGATCAAACCCAAGGCTTTATACATGTTAGGCAAGCCCTCTCTCCCCCAGCCTCGCTCCATTTTCCTATACAATAGCATCTTAGAAGGTCAATCTCAGAAGACTCAGCCCAGCAGACAGACCATCAATGCTCAGTTAAAACAACAAAAAACAAACAAAAAACCTAACAGAATGCCAGGGTGAGCAGCTGAGATGGTGGATGTGTGCGGGTACTACAGTCCACAACAGCAGGGACCTCGCCTGGCTTGTTTTCAGCTGGACGCAGAATGTCCCAACAATATCCGACATAGGCACAGGGTGCCAAAGAAATCTCTGCCGAACAGCTGTGTACGTGAGCTCTAATAATAGTTTGTAGACGTTGACACAGGAGCATCGAAAGAGTCCTCGCTGACTCTGCCCAAGGAATTGGAAGTTTCTCAGTGAGAGCCATTTCAATTGGGCTTTGATGGATGTATCAGAGATCAATACACAGGAAGGGCTTTCCAGGCACCGGGGCCAGCACATTCTGAAAATATGGCTTCAAGTTCAGGCAACGGACGGTTAGTATAGAACACTGATGCAGTGGCAGGCAGGGCGGGAGGGCGCAGACGCGGAGGAGTTATGGAGTAGCTTGTATGGAGTTTTGTCGGAAAGTCTTTATTTAAACCTAACTACTTACGTTCATACGATACTCCAAAGAGAGCAGTTTCCAGTCCCACTGTTATCCCAGAGGCCCCTCTCTTCAAGGGGTTGGCTGGTATCTTAGCAGAAAAGGGATATAGTCACACCCCCTTCAGTTCCTAGAACTATTTCAAACCCAGAAGAGGATGGGGACTGGTGACTATGGACTTGGTAAGGGTGGTATGCTGCCCCCTCGTGGCCTTGGCCAACCAGGGCAGCAAGGCATCATCTAGGTCCCATAATCCCAGGGGTCTCCAATCTCTACCCCCAAGCAGCACCAACTTTTTACTACTCCATACACACTCAAGGTTGGGCCAGGGATCCTGGGGAGCCAAGTAAAAGCCAATGTGAGCGATTTACGTAAAGCTGTCCTCTCACACTTCCTACCTTCAGACAAAGGAGGTGAACAGGGGTCAGGGCACCAGGGTTCGGGTCTAATCCCACCCCTAATTCAAAATGACCTTGGACACGTCATTCAACTAGGCCTCTCTTGCCGCCTGTACTTCTGAAGGGTCACCGTGAAGACCATTGTTACACTGGGGCTATGAACACTAGGAAATGCTCAGAGTGCTCGGGATGGATGTAAGGGGATCATGCTGGGGATTAGCTAGGGGCTCTCTGGGGCTGCACCAAAGGGTTTGTTTACATCTGAACAGGCCTGCTGGCAGGGCCATTTAAAGGGAACGTGCTAGCTAGCTGCTTGCCAATCACACCGATCGAATACTTAGAAAACAAGGATGAAGTCTGGGTAAAAGCAGGCTGTAATGGCTAGCACTTGGACACTGAAGAATGAGTGGAGGGGTGGGGTAGGACTGAGGGCACCAGGAAACAGGATACAGCTTCTTTACTGTGAGCAGGCCTCTCTACCTGTTCACTAGATGGGATGTCCCACTCGGGGCAGGTAGAAAGGCCAGATGCTCCCTTTATAGAGACACAGCTAGATGAGGACAACTGAATTGGGGTGGAGTCGATATCCGAGTTATTTTTCCTAAGCCTACTTACTGACAATTATTGGTGAAATCCCTTCATCTTCTCTGGTAAGGAGCCTCTATCCAACACCTTAAAACTAGGAAAATGGTTTTGCAAAACTATTCCTTTTCTTGCTTATAAAGTGTGAATGACTCCCATAGTTGGTCCTAGCTTTTTGCTTTGGTGGCCAGGAAGCTCAGCATCAAATCATTTCATTTGTGTTTCTATTTTTTGGATCCCAATCTCCTATTCAATTGTTTTTTCCTAATCTTTGTTTTATGGACTCAGGCGAGTACAAGTAGGTGAATGAAAATTAAATTGACACATTAGCATATCACTAACATATCTTGCCTATCCAGGGAGTTAAGAACAGTCTGACCAGATCTGAACATTCCAGCCCCAGAATCTGGAATGTAGGAGGTGTGAACCATGAGTCTTTCCCAATTTTCCTATGCCAATGCCTACCCTACCATGCAGGTTTGCAGTGAGCTGTCTGTAGCCATGGAATCCTAAAAATACCAGGCCTCAGCTGGAAAGGTCTAGAATCGGTCTCTTCCCTGCATCTTTCCCTCAAGCCCAAAGCCCAGGGAGTTGCCCACAGGTTTATGGCAAAATGACCTCTTCTCCTCCTGGCATTCTGCTCACTACCTTCCCCACGACAGCAGGCCCGACTCTGGCTGTAAAGAGACCAAGACATCAGGAAAAGGGCTCACTGCTGGCCCTTCTTCCTGGTGCCCCCGTTCAGTGGAAAGGCCTCCAGTAATCAGAACTACAGCAGGCAATGGCAAGAGCCACTGTGTGCCTGGGGTCTTCACTTGCTGGAGGAGCCAGTGTTCTCCAGGAGAGATGTCCCTACCATGTCATGCGGTGGTCCATTTGGGTAAGGCGAGGCTTTTCTGAGCAGGAGACATGTTCTGATGAGGGTCATTTGTAAGCCAGTTTGAACTCATTAAGTTCCTCTGACCCACTCCTTACAAGTGGTCCACCTTTCCTGACAGCCAACCGGAAAACAAATCAACCTTTCCAAGCCTCCCCAAGTGAGTGTGGCCCCATGACTGTCCCCAGACACAGAAACAGACTCTCGAGTACCTAAAAGGAGATTTATTGCATTTCATGCAGTTTGAAGTCCATGCAGCAACGGAGATGAACACAATCATAACGTATCAAACAATAAAACAGTGGGCAGAGCAGAGCACAGGGCCCTAGTCTCCTTGGGTCTTGGAGAGAAGGGCTGCGGAGGAAACCAGCTCTCTGTGGGGAATGAGTTCATGGCCCACAGACAAGGAATGTTTCCACGGCTTCTGGATGCAGAGGGATCTGGAGAAGGGCAGAGAGGACGCTGGGGGAAAGGGTCTGTTCTGAGGGCAGAACTGGCAGAGTGGAAACCCTGGGCACCCTTAGGAAGGGAGCATGGGCTGCCCCTTAGCAGTGGCAGTGAGTGCCCAAGCCAGGAAACAGAGAATTATTTCCTCAACCACACGCTTCAAGAAAATGCCATAAATATGTTATTTAATATTCTTGTTTTATAGCATTGGACACACAGCTCAACATACTGAAATATTGATTCCTTGGAGACAAAATGAAAAAAAGAAAATAAAGAATATTGCATCGTTCTGTTGTAGAATCTCAGTCCCCAGATGTGGAAAGTAGTGCACCAGTGTCTTAGCCTGAAGGAGGCATGAAGTCCCAGGTCCTCTAGCGAGGGAGGGGATGTCCCCATCACCTGGGGCTCTATGGCAAATATTGTGTTGGGTGTCCTTGGCCTTTCCTGCTCAGGCCCTCAGTCTCCAGTCACCTGGGGGGTCTGCCCATCGGAGGGCTGGTTGGTTGACTGAATGAACATGGGCTGGGCGAGGTCTTGGCCTGCAGGCATGGTGACTTGCTGGATCTGGTACAGCTGCTGCAAAGGGTAGAAAGGAGAGGGAGGTCACTCCTGGGACAGAGGCAGCAGGCAGTTCTCTACAGTCTTCCAACTGGGTGGGGCCCCAGACCCCTTAACTTCGAGAGGGAAGGGGACAGAGTGCAGTCTTCATAGGGGGAGGGGGCCGAGCAGCAGATACAGGAGGCGCCAGGCGCCATGTGAGGTAGTTTGGTGGACGGGTGCTACACTGGCTGTGCCTTTCACGTCTCTGTGCTCTCCAGTCAGCTCAGACCCAAACCTGCTGCAGCCTTTTCTGTTCTGACAAATACAGCACTTGGCCATAGGACTAGCATCTTGCAAACCAGGATCCTCCCTCTTCCTTTCCTCCAAGGGCTCTGTGAAGATGTGGCCTGGTATTAAACATGTACTACAACCAAGCCCATCAGAGAGAAGACAAGTCAGGGCCATCCAGCCTCCTGGTTTCTCTCAGTCCTAAAGAGACCACTGGATGAAAGAGCCCTGGCCCAAGAGCCTGGCAGAGACCAGAGGGCTGGAGGCTGACTCTTCTCCCTTTGAGCAGCAGAGAACAGAAGTTAGAACATGTCACCTAGCTTCATCCTCAGTGGACCATGGGACCATGCTGTGAGGGAAAAGCAGGTGAACAGAGAAGGCCCCTCTTTCTTAGGGACAAGAATGCTCAAGAGGTCACATGTTCCCTTATTTGAACTAATCTATGTATAGGTATCCTGTCTTCTTAGGAAGAAACAGAAAACCTGTATTCTAGTGCTGGCTCTTTCACCAACAACTGAGTGAGCCTGGAAGAGGCACACCCACTTCCAGGGCTCAGTTCATTCACCTGAAGGATGGCAATTTGGGCTATATAACACTTACCGTTTTTTTGTTTTTGTTTTTGGCCTGCAGACCTAAAGGACTGCTACTTGTATTAACAATGTTTTGTCCACTATTAGGGAGTAAGACAATAGCCCTACCCATCCAAACCCACATACCATCTGCATCCCTAAACCCCAACTCAGGCTGGGTCCCTACCTGTCCATCTGTGAACTGGCTGAACTGCTGCTGTCCTTGTTGGACTTCTGTCTGTGTGATCTGTGGAAAGCAAGGACAGAGCAGGCACGTTAGCTGCAGGGTCTATCAGCCCCCCACACTAAGACTGAATGACATAAGGTCTACAAAGTGTCCAGAATGAGGCCTGTCACTGAGCAGCTGCTTGGCAAAGGCCTGCAAGCAAGAGTCTCTTTGCACTGAGGGCTAGCAAAAGTCTGGTCTCACACAGGCACATCACAACCACCCTCTCCTCTCAAGGTTTGAGGCTCAGATTAAGAACACACATCTCCTCAGCTTTAATGTAATAGTTATGGCTTTAAATAGAAGCCTTAGAGTTTGTTTTTCAGCCAATGAAGGCAGATTGCAAAGTGAAAGGCAAAGCAGTGAGTGGTCCCCTTCGTCCTTGGAAGGCGGGCTCCAAACTCAACTGCAATATGAAACACCCTAGTGAGCAGCAGCCTTGGCCCTCCCATCTCACAGTGGCAAGTCATGAAACACTTTTTCCCCACACTCAGTGTACAGCCCTCTGGGCCAAGAGGGAGAGATGTGTGCAGCAAGAAAAACATTTACCCCACACACTTCACATCTTACACAAGAACTTTATACTGACAAGCAGAGTTGCAGCATATGACTGCTGGGAAGAGCTAGGAAAGCTGGAAAGACTGCAGTGTGCATCTGTGTCTGTGGATATGCAACTTGTGGCAGCCTCTGTACAGCTTTTAGAATCAGCAGAGCCCATCTCTAAGGTAAAGCTCGCCTTCTCACGTGTCCTCCCAACGGCCCCAAACAGCTCCTGCTAGCCTACCAAGGAGGCAGGTATGAAGGTTTCTTATTATTACTCTTATTCTAGGTCTGTCTCCTTCTGTAAATCTATAAGCTGCTTGAGGACAGGAGCTATGATTAATCTGTATACTCCCCTAGTACAGTCAGTCTTGTAGAAGTGCCTTCAGGATAAACGAAGAAAGTTGAGACATACAAACAATTCTCACAGATGAAAGTCAACTGTGCCTGTGACCAGCAAAATTGCTATTACCAGCAGCTGAAAAGTTTAATTTACCTTTAAATCACAGGCATTTCATCCAGTGTTCACCCAACAAACATTTACTAAGCACCTACTAGGTGCCAAGCTATACAATTTACATCATGGAGACTGTAAGTGCCCTCAAAGAATCCACTTTTTGAATCTCCCCTTCTCTCCACTTTCTGAACTCCACTGCCCAAACTGGCATCTGAGGAATCACAAATCCTTCTCACTTCCTTCTGCTTCCATGCCACAAAAAGGCTTCTTGGATCTCAAGAAAATTACCAGAAATCTTGCATGCTTTTAAAGAAAATGTAAAAAGGGAGATGGGCACACGGTCATAACTAGTCTTGAGAATTGTCATTGATATCCAAGAAACTTATGGGAAGCCCAGGTCCATAGGCAAGTGGGTCGCAGGGATGGAAAGGGTCCTTTAATGATCCCAGAGATGATGTGGAGCTCAGACGTCTTACTCTTGGCTCATCCCTCACATTTCCCAAATGAGATCTTTGGAGACCTGCTCTAACTCAGCTCTGTCACCACTGTCAATAGATACATCACCAGAAATGCAACCGGGCCAGACGGGTCCAGCTCTTAAACGATTGCTGCTTTTTTTGGGCCTGAGGCAAAAGGATCCATTAACAATACATCCCCTTCACCACTGTCCCCCATCATCTGCAAATGATGACCATGACCCTTAAGCCCCCGAGGCCTGGAGTAGGTAGCCCCCTTGGCACCTATAACTCAGAGCCTTCAAGACTGTAAGGCAAGGAGGACACAAGGGGTGATTTCTCTGGTTGAGTCTGTCTATGGAGGTAGAGTAAATTAAGTATGTTTTCCCAAGGGCACAAAAAATACCAGAACACAACTGCCATTGGGGCTTGGGGGGGGGGGGACGACACAGCCTGGCAACTAGGGTTCCTCCAGCCTGACGTGTACAGACCCATATCTGGCCTCTTCCTGGTATACTCTGTCTGTGTCTTTGCCCCTCAGGAGCAAGATGGTAAACACATTGTGAATCCAACTGTCCAGTCAATCCCATCAGGCCCTGGCTGCCACACAGATAAACATTTGGGGTGAATGGTTCTTGCTGAAGGACAAGGTAATGAGAGCTGTGTGCTGAGCACTCTCTTTGCTACAAGAAGTTGGCCAGCTGATTCTTGTCCCTCTCTGGTGTACATACCTGTTGGGCATTGGTGGCAAGTGTCTGGATCTGTCCCTGCACAACTTGGGTGCCTGACACAGGCTGGGCTAAGCGGATATACTGCAGCTGGCCGGCATTCAGCTGCACCTAGGACAGGGCAGAGACAGAGAGCACAGCGGTCTGAACACAATCTCATACAGGCATACTTCCCATGGCCAGATTTAGGGATTGCCCATGCCCTACAAGTGCCTCCAAGAAGCCTACCCTAAAAAAAGTCCTTTTAAACAGAGGTCAAAACAAGAAAAGCACTCCACCCCTACACAAAAGAGCATGCCCTAATATGACCACACACTCATCTTGCTAGCCGTTGGCAATTTGATCAGAGCTTATCTAAGGCTTTCCTGAGACTACCCAACACCTCAGAATGACTGGGCTTTAAGTGTAGGCCTCTCCCGCCATCTCCATCCACTGTGAACAGTTCCAGGATTTGCCAGGTGCCCAAAACAGATGGCTGTCAATTCGAGTCATTTAATTAATCTTGGAGGAAAAGACTGGCCCCCAAATTCAGGACCAATGTGTATGGGTGTGTGGGTATGGGGAGGGGGTGTCTGTGGACCATGAAGACCCTTGATGTTCAGAACTAGCTTCTGGCCAGATACTCCCCAGGGGAAGCAGAGTCAGTAAAACCCTCACAGAAAAGCTACAAAACTGCCCCTGGTGCTCTTCGTGCTTACAATGGAGCCTCACATAGCAGGGTAACAGCACAGCCTACACTTAACTGTGTCCTGAAAGCCTTAACGCGGGCTCTTAGAATTCCACTGTGCCATGAAGCACTGTCACTTCAGCTGGGGAGGAAGGGAGGAAGGAGACAGTTGGAGATCCATGGCTCCAGAGAGATAAGGGAAGCTGAGGACTGTGGCTCTGCACACGGGACAGGTTAGGAGCACAAACTGATTTGGTCTGTCTCTATCTAGGGGCCCAGAAAGCACACTCCTGGTTGTTCAACTTGCTTCTGGTGCAAGGAAGAATTTCCTCAGGCAAACAGCATCACACCGCTGTACCGGCACAGGCTTCTTCCTGGCTTTCAAAAGCTACCTCCATCACAGCAACCTTACTTCCATGAGGAAAATGCTGACAAGATAAAGCTGTGCCCTACATGCAGGGCTACGTCAAGTGCTTCTCTGCGATGCTGGCCTCAAAGGATTTGAACCATCAAGAAAAATGGAAGTTTTGTTTGGTTGTTGTTATTGTTTTAGACACAGATATCTCAGGCATCCCAGGCTGGCTCTGAAATCACTACATGGCCAAGACTGACCTTGAACTTCTGATCCTCCTGCTCTACTTCACAAGTTCTGGGATTACAAGCTTACAGTTTAAACAGCGGTAGGGATCAAACTGAGAACTTCATGCATGCTAGGCAAGATGGCACTGCTCCCCAGCCATAACTCAAGTTTGTGGTGAAAGTTCCAAAGCTATCTGCCTGGAGCAGATAGGGGAAATACAGATGTTAACATCAGGTTCGATGGAATGCAGCGAGTGTACCGTGACCTGCACCACTTTGTTCCAGAGCCAACAGGAGCTGGTGGGAAGTTGTGCCCAAATTCCTTACCAAATCTATACTGCAGCTTCCAGTTGCCATCAAGCCACCTCTGTGGATGAAAGTGGTTGGAAACTTCATCTGCTCAGACCAACCGACAGTGGTCTGTCTAGTCAGGAGTTACCAGAAGGCCAGCCAAGAATCAATCCTAGGGTGACAAACTAGAGCCTTGTCTCAGGTATAGGTAAGGCTCCTAACAGCCCCAAGTATTTAAGATTTCCTAGCAGGAGGCCACAGCTGCAGGAACTCCTAGGGCAGCCAAGTGGTTCCAAGCAGCTGCAACGGAAGGAAGGGGCTTTGATGGTTAGGTTGAGAAACCTAGAGTTGCCCTGCTCCTCGGTCTCCAGCACAGGACCGCTGCTCCTCACGGCTTTGCTGCCCAAGTTCCTCAGCAAACAAGCCTCTCCCTTTAGCTTTTGTGAGGGAAGTAGTTTCTGCCTCAAGAGTCTGGAAATGTCCACTTCTGAGAGGATGTCTGAGGACAGAGAAGATGAAGCACTAGATTCTGGAACCATCTTCTGGACCAATGGTTTTTTCCACAGAGGGATAAAGTTACAGTTCCAAGACCGGAGATATGGTTAAATGACCTTGTTTTGGTTCATACAAAAGAGAGAGAGAGAGAGATTCCTACAGCTTTGCCTGGTCTGTTACTTCATAACTTAATGAAGTTCCCACACTGAACAAAGGGTACTCTTTGGGCTTTGTTTCAGAGAGGAAATAGCAAAGCAGGTCCAAGCGGGTGCCTATCAGCCTACGTTTCATGAAGGACTGCTCCACTCTTTCCCATTTTGGTTGCAAAATGTTGAGTCTTTGCAAGTGCTAAGACAGGTTTTTTTTTTTTTTTGTTCTTTTTTGTGGAGTTTTTTTAGTTTTTGGTTTTGTTTTTTAAACAAAGTCGCTCTTCCAAAGGACATGGGTTCAATTCCCAGCACCCACATGACAGCTCACAAGCATCTAACTCTAATTCCAAGGGATTCTATGCCCCGTTCTGGCTTCCACAGGCACCAGGTACACACTGCTTGGACATAGTGCAGACATACATACATGCAAAAAGAACACCCATATGCATAAATTAAAAAAAGACAGGTTTAAAAAAAAAACTAAGAAATGAAATCCCTCTAGGCACGCAAGAAGTCTACAGTCAAGGAATGGGTAAGTTAAATGAATGCCAAAAATACACTTTGTGGCAGGCTCCCCGGGAACTGACTCATGAATATGCAACAAGTGTATTTATGGCCTTCCCTACATACCTCCCTCATGTTCTCAGCTAATCAAAAGATAGGTCTGGGGGCGGGGGGTGAGACGGCACTTGCCTGATAACCCGAGTTCAATCCCCAGGACCCACATGGTAGGAGAAGTGGTGGTGCCCAAATTCCCTGCCAGGCCTGTCCTGCAGCTCTCAGGTGACAACAGAATGTGCCTTGGAGAATCCCACCCCACAAACGTGTCCTGATTCTCACATGAATACAAAGAAACACACCCACCCATGGGCAAACGAATAAATGTAGTAATAATAATAAAAAAGAGAGGCATGAGATACAGCTACCATGATGTCTCTGCGTAGGTGTAGGAGGGGGAAGAGAGAAGAGCCACACCACAGGTGAGACAGAAACTGGGCTGAAGCAGAGGGGAAGAGAAACAACGGACAAAGCTGGGTGTGTGGCGGGAATACGACACCATGAGCTGAGAAGAGTCGGGGACGACAGTGCAGGCTTACCGGGATCTGCTGGATCTCTCCAGTGTTGGTGATAATCTGCTGCATCACCTGCATGGTCTGTCCAGTACCACTCTGGGCCTGTTGTGTTTGTCCCTGAGGCTGGGCCTGCACAATCTGCACCTGCTGACCTTCTCCAACCTGCATTGTCACGGGTGTGGTCTAGAGGGAAGAGTCAAGAGAGAGTTGCTTGAGTTCTGGCTAAGCGCCTGTAGAAGTAAACTGGGAGCACACACTCCATTAATGCCTAGATCTGTCACCCTCTTAACATGCAGCCCAATGGGTCTACAACACAGCTAGAGTTAAGTCTTAATTAGGAACGAGAAAGCCAAACCAAGTTTTAGGCTCACAATGCAGAATATCTGCCTGAGTCTAAGCTTAAATGCCTGAGCTTTAAATGCTGCAACTCCATAGTCTTTCTGTGATGGCAAGGTGCATACAATATAAGGGGGGGGGGGGGCGCGTCAAAGCAATCATAACAGCTCACTCGAACAGACCCATGTCAAATTTGGAGCAGGTGAATTTCGAGGGCACAGTGAAACATAAAGTAGAGCCTACACAAATGTATTATATTTAGGGTCCTATACTACATCCTAAGCATGGAAGACCCTAAAAGAACAAGCACACAGGCTCACCGCGGAGGCTGGGGCCTAGTGCACGTAGGCTTGCACTCATTTCAGCAGCACAGAGGATCCTGTCCACCTTCCCCCAGGAGAGCATGGCAACGACTCATCAAAGCCTACCCTCATTTAATAGAATTCAGAAAAGCAAGAGCTTCAACAGTCTAGAAATGGATCTCAGGGTTAAGAAACTTCTGCCTTATGTCCATGACTTGCACTTAGCAGCTTGTCACTATGAAGCAGACTCTGAATCTCAAGACCTTAGCCCTTAATGTGAGCTGGGAGGAATGAACCCAGTGTGTCTGACTTGTCTGGTCGTGAGAGTGGTGGCAGATAGGGGGAGCCACTAGACTTGCGTTCTCCTCCACTTCAGACATCATCTCCCCCTTTGAACTATGTAAGAAACTTGTCAATCAGATGATACTGGGAGTCTCAAAGAGTCATGGGCTTCAAATGATGTTGCTGTTCTGATGCCAACTCTTGATTGCACAAGTGCCCCGGACATTATAACTCAGTAACTAAAACTATGGGGAGGGAGGCCTAGGAACTACAGAAGAAATTTAAGAGATTACTAGGTAAGGAAAAATTACTGACAACTTCAAGAGGAAAGGAGAGACAGAGTTCTCAGGACAAGTATCCTTGGTGGGCTAGGACATCACCAAACACCTTTTCTATTTGTCTATCATGGTCATGATGCTCCACCTGCCTACCCCACACCAAGAGAAGTAAGTTCCCAACTAAAAACAGAAAGCACAGAATTCATTTCACCACAGTGCCTTCCAACTTTGCTACAATGTATATTTTATCTTAGGAAAGATACTTGTATTCGAACTGAAACGGCCTTCATTACTCATTCACTATGGGTCCAGGGAGGTGGAACCCAGCCCCCAGCCCCCTGAAGCAGCAAGAGCAAAACAGCTTGAGGAGACCAACCTCACCAACCTCACAAGCTTTCTCAGCTCCAAGCCCCAGCAGGTCTTGGTTGGCAAGGAAGATGGATAAAATTTTTGTTGACCACCACCGCCCCCCCCACCCCAAACCAACCAAACAAACAAACAAAAAATCAAAAAAGTATGCTGCCAACTCCTCATTGTACTCCACCAACCCGATTTTTGAGGATTTCCAAGGCATTTCTGATTCATTTCAGGAGAATGAGGGCTTGTGCGAGCAAGGCAGCGGCCAAGTCCCCCACGGTGTGCCCTGCTGTAAGCACAGCCGGCCCGGGCTTCCTGAGATAATCCACCAATCAGGGTCAGCCCTCGGCAGCCTATCTAAGTTCACTCAGTAAAGGGACAAGGCCTTTGGCGGGTAGAGCTCTCTCACTGCAGAGGCACAAGCATGAGCCAAAGCAGCAGCTCCCTGAGGCTTCAAGGTGCAGTGAATGCCTGAGGTGAGGACTGGGCTATGTACTCAGCTTTGAACCTTGCCTGTCATAGAGAGCATTCAATATATTTCTATTTTATGAATAAAGAAATGAGCAAGAAATAAACCCTGAAGTCAAAATTAATATTTAAATTCATCCCATTCCCAATGTTTTTCTTCTAGGTAAACTTAGCTCTTTACCAGAATACATAAGGTTCTCTGGGATGTGTTTCCTGTACCTGTCTAGGTATCTCCAATGCTAATTATATTCTCCTACCACTTCCTCTGCTGCTTCTCATTTTTCTGTCTGTCTGCTTGTTCTGAGACAGAATCTCATGCAGCTGAGGCTGGTCTCAAACTCCTGATTCTCCCATCCCCAACTCTGGAGTGCTGGGATTACAGCATGTGTCACCACGTCTAGCTGTTTTTCATTTGTAAGCCTTCGAGCAGCAATAAATACCATGCTTTCCCAGTGTATTAACACTTCTAGTGATCCCTCTAAGAGCCACGTTACTCCATTCAGGGGCCTCTAATCACCTTCTCTTCCACCAGCTCCTCACATCTTTATTAGGGACTCTGTTGATAACGCTCTGTCTATAATTCTAAAGCTGTCTTAGTCTTACTCATCCCATGTGGTGGTACAACCTTTAAAAATATTTGTATCCCCAACTAAGACTATTGTGAATTCCTTGGAAATCAGGATTGTTTTATTCATGCTTATGTCCCCAATACCTAGCATAGGACTTTACTCACAGAGGATGCTCACTGTTTGATGAATAAATAAAGAAATGACTGACAGAATTTGGATTCAGAGCTCACAGAACTGAGTCCTCTGCAGCCTCTCATGACTCCCAACGGATGGTACTGCTCTCAACAGTACTATGGGGGAGAGAAAAAAATCCTCTGATTACTATTGTCAAAAGAGCAGATCACCTGATACAAATACAGTAGACAGAGAACTGCCAGAAAGAAGAGCTTTGCAAGGTGGCAATAACACTGCTCTCCCCTTTACGGGCACAAATTCCAGTCCTGGTATAGACAGAGAGCAGGTGTGGAGTCCACTGAGAAGACCTTTTACAGACATCCCACTAATGTTCAGGGGTGCATTAGAGAATTTTTTTCCTTCTAGAATGTCTGAGCTCATAGGGATCCTGGAGAACATCTTGTCCACTGCATTTTCCTCATCTGACCTATGAGGAAAACAGGGTCCAGAGAGATTAGGGTGACACTTGGCTTCTGTGACTCAATCAGGGGAAAGCTCAGGTTTCCAGAAATCAAATGCAGCACTCTGTAAGGATGTAATGGCCTCTCTCTGCACAGCATACTTTCCCCACCCAAACCTAAGAGGCATTGCTGTGCTAGGCCGGTACCCTCTGCAGCTCACAGACCTGACCCTGCTGAGGCTGTGCAATGATGATCTGCCCAGGCTGGATGGTAGTCGTGGAACTAGTAGTCTGCTGGCCTTGCTGCTGTCCCTGGACCTGGACAGCAGTGGGCTGCTGAGCCAGCGTGAAGTAGTACTGGACGGGCTCCGCAGGAGTCACAGACTGGCGCACCTCCTCCTGTGGGGTGGAAGGAGACTCAGGTAAGGGGAAAAAAAACCAACTCAGCAGCCGCCACAGTGAATTTCCACTCTTCCCCCAAACAGGCTATGTGCAGTTGCCTGCTGAATGCTGAGCTCTCCACATTTGCAGTCAAAGGAGAAGGGGAATCTGAAGAGACCAGTTGTGCTAAATCAAACTAAAAATAACAGCTTCTATAGGCTTCACAGAACATACAGCCAATTTTCTGAAGCATCGAGTAATCATCCATTGTGTGATAAGTTGCAAACAGGCAAATAATTACCGTAACCAACAACCACGTACCAAAAGAACTTGTCAGTAGATTCTGTCAAGGCCTGTGATAGGAGAACAGTGCTATCTGCCAGCAACAGGAAGATGATACCAAAATTTACTGTCCCCAAGTCCCATAAAAGACAGTATCCCCATTCCAGGAGGGACATGTCATGGAAAGGGGAAAAGGCTTTTCCTGGGCTCCAATTCCAGAGCCAGCTTTTCACAGAACACTGAAAGCTCTATGTTTACAGCATCACATCTGAGTCTACTTGTACTTAGCCAGAGAAGTGCAACCCAGGGGGCCTGATGATAGCTCTCCGCTGGGGTGCTGCCTTGGCTGACTAGGGAGGAAGCAGCATTCTGTCCGATCTGGTAGGTGAAGAGATTGTTCTTCAGCTGACGTTTTCCATGGCAGAAGGAGTAAACAACCCTCTCCCAGCCACCTTGAGCTCACAGCTGAGAGTGTAGGATGTTTACACACACTACAACATGGTTACAGCCCAGGGGTTGGTGGGCCCCTGACCACCCACAGAGATCAGCATCTTATTCCGAGTGACCTGTGACACATGGTGTCCCTGTCTAGGACAACAAAAACATTCAACCACATAGGCTGAGTAAAAAATATTAGCTAATTTTATTCATGTCCTCATTCAGAGCTAAGTCGATCAAGTTTCAGAAGAGATACTTCCACAAGGTACTGAGACCTTCTGCTCACACTCCCCAAAGTGCGCTTCCATGGCACTGTCCTCACTGCAAGATTTTGTACCTACATGGCAAACTGACTGCCAGTTCTGCTCAAATCTAAGTCCCAGGAGGGCAAATACTGCCTCTCTCTTGCTTGCTACAGTTCCTGGTACTCCCATACAGGCCCTGGTAAGTGGTGCCTGAATGATGAGACTTTTCTGAATGCATCCTGACTGCACGCAAATTCTTCTGAACCCAACAGCTACACCAATACCTTTAAAGGACAGCACCTCCACTCTCCTTAGTCTCCCTAAGATCTGGTGACCATGGTGTGGAAAAGTTGTCCTTGCAGTCCTGGGCTGAGTGCTTCTGTACTTGCCTGTGGACACTGTAACTGATTATGGACAGCTGGCCTCTGAGAAACTTGAATCTTATCTAACAAGGTTCCCTAATGCCATCCCCGGAGCAGGAAAGGCCTCTCTGAATGTTCTTGTCATCTAAGAAGTCTTTAAACACAAACTGACCTGGGTTAATGTGGTCCGTGCTTTAAGTCCACACGGCTTCGATCCTCAACATAATTCGCAGATGCAGAGGAGGCAGGAGAGCCCCCTTTACTTTCACCTAGGTCTCAAATTCGAGACCACCTTAACCCTGACAAGGCCAGGTCCATTTCAACCCCAGCTTCCTTTCCATTTAAGCAAATGTCAGCCAGCAACCATGTCTTGGCAGGGATAACATACCAATACCCCTTTAAACCACAAAAGGGAGGCCAACTGCTCTTTCTAAAGCTGTGGAAATAAGTTCAATGTGTATTTTTTCCCCATTGAGGTCTCCTTTCATATTTTATAAATAGGAAGACCAGAATTGACAGACCAAGCTCTTGGCCATGAGAGTATTAAGACCATAGAACACAGACCAGCTGATAGCAGTCAGGCAGCTGGGAGGCACTGGTACTTCCTACCTTTGATCTGTGGCTGGCTCTAGGTGTCCATGATTACAGTTATCAAGCACCAAATGTGTTTTTGTAAGACAAACAGCAAATTATTTATATACCTCTGCCAGAACCCAAATTACCACTTTACCAAAAGCTAGCAAGCAGGCAGGTAGCTTCTCCTGTGCTTCCTACTGCATCCTCTTAGGTAATAACAAACTAGACAGTTTCTAGGACAATGCTGTCAGGACTAGGCATGGCTGTTTTCATATCCCTAGGATGGAAGGAGGCGCAAGTAAGGTTCTTCGGCTTTATGAAGACTCATTCTGCAAATGGAGGTCAAGCCAGCAAGGGAATGATTATGCTTGATATAAAGAAATGGGTGAAAAGATAATGACATTTCAATGAGCAGGGACTTTCAACTCATAGCTTAGTGGGGGAGAAGTCAGCCCTTAACTTTTACTTGCAAATAGTCTATTCACTTCCACAGAAAAAAAGAGAGAGATTCCAATTCATCTCTGAGAAGTCAGGACCTTAGACTCACAATTCAGTATTTCCCTTTTCCAGGTGTGGAACAGCATCCTGAGCCATAGAATAATCCCTGCATGACTGGGTCAATACAGAAGGGGGGAAGGTCGGGATTTAGCTCAGTGGTAGAGCACTTGCCTAGCAAGCACAAGGCCCTGGGTTCGGTCCTCAGCTCCAGAAAAGGGAAAAAAAAATACAGAAGGGGGTACTTGCTTAATATTAGTAGTGGTCTCTCCAATGCTGAGACTGAAAAACAATGCCAGTGCATAAACAGAATCACTTCACAGGGTCATCACTACACTGATGAGCAGCCAGCTCCAGATTGGGGAAAAAACACATTTGCTTTAGTAGCAGAGTGAACTGCTGCCTCCTTCAGAGGGTGTGTTTTGGAGAGTAGGCACTTTTAAAGGACTTTAGGAGGTGCCAGCCAATTTGGAGCTTGGGAAAACTCCATGTCTACAGAGAATTAAAAAACTGCTATCTTAGAATTTCAGGCTAGCTTTCAGCAGTCTCAACCTTTTAAAGGCCAGGCAGCAGCTGTCCTGAATAGGATGCCAATCAATAGCTCAAACACCTACAAAGAACTAAAACCAGGCAGCATACGGAGCGTTCCTGCTAGGTACTCTTTAAAGGGAGAGAGACCAAGTGTAGGGGTGTGTGCCTTAAATCCTAGCACTCAGGAGCCAGAGGCAGGCAGATCTCTCTGCATTCCAGGACAGCCTGGTCTACACAGTGAGTTTCAGTCTAACCAGAAACACACAGTGAGACCCTGTATCAAAAACCCAAACCAAACCAATCAACAAAAAAAGGGAGTGGGATAAGAGTACTTCAAGTTTAACACTCTGAAGGGCAAACACTCGGAGACCCTGAAGGACAAACAACTCTGTAGGAAGATATAGGACAGTGGTTCTCAACCTTTGGGTTGTGACCCCTTGGGGGGGGGGGAATGTCAACCTTTTCACAAGGGTCACTTAAGACCACTGGAAAACACAGATATTTACATTATGATTCATAGCATTCACAAAGTTACAGTTATGAAATAGCAACAAAAATAATTTATGGTTGGGGGTCCCCAGAACATGAGAAACTGTATCAAAGGGTCCTGGCATTAGGAAGGTTGAGAAGCACTGCTCTAGAATAACCCCCTTCCTTCTCTTTAGTCAGTCTATTCAGCAAGCAGCCCACAGTGAACAGGGAGTTAGTGCAATAAGAGCACTGCCTGACTGTATCACAGATCTTACCACCTCATTTTTAAAGGGGGCTTGTGGTGGACACATGGGAGCAAAAATCCAACAAAGAAAGCAGGCTTGTGGTATTATTAGCTCCAAAGGAAAGAAAAGAGGCAGTTTGAGTTCTGTGACTTCTCAGAGAGGAAGGAAGCACCCCAAGAAGAGGAGTCAAGTCCAGGGCACAAACCTGTAATGTCTCAAAGCCGATGCACGCAGCGGGGACGACTGTGGCAGCCTGCCGCTGTAAACATCCGACTGAAAGCTCTTCTCAACACCTTACAGCTTCCAGTCAAGGATGTTTACAGTAGCAAAGACGGCCCAGAAAAAAGGAGCTTCGGTGAGGCACACCCTGCTCCCATAAGGGTGACCCAGGGCTTGCCAACCCAAACCCTCCTGAAGGGTCAGAATTAATGCCAATTAGGATGCCCACTTCTCTGATACATTTTCTGACTGGTAATTAGTACAGGTCAGCATGGGGATTATGGCTGTCATTAAATGACTCTAGACAGTGTACTAAATAATTTGTTAAAAACACTTCAGAGCTTACGAACAAAAATAAAGCAAGCAGAACATGGTATGGCTTTACTTCTGTGAGGCTCTGCCACTATTTCCGAAATGTTCCACTAAACCTAGTGAGTCATGCAAACTGTGTGCCTGAACCAAGGAGCTCTATAGGACGGGCTCTGTTACAATCATGATGAAGAGTTAGACGCACTCAAGTTGGAACAAAATAGTTGGTGTGACCTCTGGAGGTGAGCAGGCAGAAGAGAGGGCAGACACTCGGCTCTTGTGCTTGAAAAGAAAAATGTAAATGGTGGTTCTAACACTTGGTTGGACATTAAAGCATCTGGGGAGCTTTAAATATTATTGATTCCTGGGATCATGGCATCACAGGCTCTGAATCAGTGCATGGAGGTTAGAGCCAGGGCACTATATAGAGACACAACAGACTGAAAAAACAAAGGCCTCTCACTCCAATCCACTCTTAGAGTCTGAAATCTGCCTGGCTGAGAAAGTTTTGATTTTAGATCAAGGAGTCTTGAAATGTTTCATTCCACTGTTTGTGACTAATGTCTTTAACTTTCACTGCAACACCACCCCAGAGGCACTGAGTTAAAAGTACCCATAAATGAGTAGAAGGAGATGTTGAGGATGATCTGGACTAGAGAGGAGAAACAGGAACAGCAAATGCCTTAGGAGGGTGGGAGGAGCCCTGGACAGCAGTGTGCCCAGGTCCTGCAGGCAGAAGCTAGGCATGCCCTCCCTGCTCACCTGACGCTTTGGAGGTTTCAGTTCATCTCTTGGAACAATGTCGATGAGAAAGTCGAACTGATCAAATTTTGTAATTGCCATAGCAATATCATTCCGCTGTAACAAAGAAAAACAGAGTAAAAAACTGGTATAGAAAGAATATAGTTCTTTTGGCTTTATTATCTTTCAAGAAAGAAGAGGACATGACTCCCCCCGCCACACACCCCCACACCCAGCCTCTAAGATTAAACCTAGGGCTTTGCACATGCTGGGTAGGTATTCTACCACTGAGCTATACGCCAGCCCAAGGAGGTGACTTTTAGGCTGCACTAAATATCCCTAGGTGTGTCTAGAGCTAAAATAAGAACAGTCAAACTTGTATCAGACTTGTTGGACAGAAATCAACAAAAGAGATACACACATCCCGTGCTCTAGGAAAAGATATCTGAGCCCTACTCACTACTGTTTCTGCTTGTTCTGGTTTCAAGACCCTCCATAAAATTGTCAAAGTCTCATCCTCTGACTAATTCAGGAGACAAAGCCAAGAGTTTCAACTGGCACTCCATGGCTGGCAAGGTTAGCCCATCATTTATTCCTATTACCTTTTTCAAGTTTGGAACTCAAAATTGCATTGCTTAGTTTAATGCAGACTTTAATTCTGAATTTGAGCCTGAATGCTCAAGCCTAAATTTACTAGGTAGCTGACAAGAATGTCACAGCATGTTCAGGTGGACTTTCTCTTCAAGTCTGACATTCCTCCTTCCTATGAACTAAAACACACACACACACACACACACACACACACACACACACACACACACACACTTTTTTCTTAATGTGTGTACTTTATTGAAAGTTTTAAGGGAAAAAGAAAAAACACTAACTCGAGAGTGTGATATACTCAAGCTTGTAGGAGAAAGTAAACTTTGAAATGTATTTTAAAATTGATCACTTTGATGGTGGTGGTGCACACACCTTTAACCCCAGCACTTGGCAGGCAGAGGCAGGCAAATCTCTGAGTTTGAGGCCAGCCTGGTCTACAGAGCAAATTCCAGAACAGCCAGGGCTACACAGAGAAACCCTGTTTGAAAACCCCAAAACAAAACAATAGACCACTTGATGGCTGGATGATGTGAGAGGTCCAGTAAATCAGCTAGAGTACACTTTGTGTTGTGTTGTTTTCAGCCTACAGCATCCAGCATTCCTAGATAGTCTCCATCCAAGTACTAACCAGGCTGGACCCTGCCTAGCTCCCGAGATCAGATGAGATTGGGCGCGTTCAGGGTGGTATGGTTATAGATTAGAGTAAAATTTAAAGGCAGAGTTTGGGAAGACAATATACTAGTACTCACTACAAACTTTATGTTTGAAATTCTTCACAATAAATTAAAAAGAAAAAGCAAACAAACACAAAAATCCTCAGCAACTTCTATATTCCACATCTTAAGGAAAGGATACCCATTAGAACAAATAGGAGGGTAGAAAATTTCTGTTTTTTTCCCCTAGTATCTGTCATGGCCCCAAGCCACTGAAACACAAACCTCTAATCTACCCTTCTTGCCAACCATCAGCATGATAATAAAGCCTCCTAAATGAAGTAGGGCATTTCTTAAAGTCTGCCAGAATTCATCTGAGTACAAGAGTGTCACAACTTTGATGATGCCACCTGTTCAAGCTAAGTAAATAGCTCATGTATGGATGGAATGAAGGGGGAAAAAAAATAAAGACCTCCAAACACACAAACACACACACACACACACACACACACACACACACACACACACACACACACACAATTCCGGAATCTTCTGTTAATATATTTTAAATTTATCTTTTCTGCCTCTCTCGTAGCCGAGGTCAGTCTTGAACTTGCTATATATCCAAGGATGACCTTGTACTCTGGAACCTCCTGTCTCTACCTCCTAAATGCTGACATCACTAGTATGTATCACCTCATCTTACTGTGCCTTTTTTTTTTTTTT